GGAAGCCATTGACGCGCAACATAACCATCTGACGAAGTTTCCGCTGGCTCTCATAGCAGAAGACTGGTGTTTTGCTATTTTAAGCATTGACTTTCTTACACATCACAACCTTATCGTTGTTTCTAAAGGGCAAAATTTTATGGACACACGGACACAGCTTAGTATTACCTGGACTAGCTCCAACGTGACCGAGAGCACTCCCATTCGTGTCCTACCTCAAGCGTTCACCTGTTTAGGTAAACCCTAGCAGATTGGCCCCGGACAAAGTCAAAGTGGCTAAGGTGGAACTCTAGTAATTACTCAAAATTGGAATAATCCTCAACCCAAGGGTCAGTGGTCATTACCGCCATACATGGTACCAAAGAAATCCGGTGACTGGCCTCCTTATGGCGATTTCAAGACACCAAGCTAATTAACCTTTCAGGATAGGTACCCTGTCCCTTATATACATAAATTAACCTCAGCTCCGTCTGGCAAAGCAATTTTTAGCAGGATAAAATTCGTACGGATCTGCCACTGATCTCCATCAGCACTTGACTATATAATTAAAACAGCAGTCAGTATACTGTTTGGCTCATTCCAATTAGAAACAGAAAGTAGCGAACAAGCTTGTTTTCATGGCTTCATCATCAGGCTAATACAACCACAATAAAGCAAGTAAGAATAGACACGATGGTTTAAATTGAGTCACTGAAACAGAGTAACTAATCGATAAGTCTACGTGTTTGGTCTGATTGGTCAAGTGAATTGGCGTGACTGCCATTGTTAGTCGCGTTGATCTCAAGCCAAGGCAAGGCTAAAGTGTGGACGAGCTTTTTCTGTACACATAGGTCCGGGTTATGGAGCCGAATTGCGATCGCCTCTGCTGTCGACAGCAGGCGACATCTGACTGCCCGTGTGAAACGTCCAGGGACACAGTAAATGGGTGTGAATGCGTCGCGCGAATCGATTTGATGGTCGGAGTCAACTAGGTGCGACAACACTGCACTCGCTATATTCTTCCTCACGCCGCTGTAGAGCCAAGCTGGGCAATGCTCTCGAGCCCTAACGGACAGTCGCCTGGTCGTTTTCCAATTACTCACAATGCCTCTATGTCATAGCAATGCTTCTCAAATGTCTTGGCGTTTCATTCATGAGGTAACAGAAGGCTCCGAAATATGTAGCCGTATTTAGATGACATTCTCATCGCCAGCTTTCCTGTCAACGAACAGTTTGGTTACTTCGACGTACGTTTCTGGCGAGTGACACAACAATAGGTTACTGTCATCTCTGACAAAAGCGAAATTGGCCAACAAACCCTCGACTAACTGGGTCGCAAGATATCCTATGCTGAACTTCAAGCACTGCCAGATAAAATCCAGACGTTGAAGGACTACTCTGTTCCTAGTTCCTTCAAACAGATTTACCTATACTCTAGCCTGATTGACTATTACAGACGCTTCGTACCTAACTGCGTGAACATTATGCAAACAATGACCGACCTGCTCCGCAGTAACCGACACAATTTCCACTTTCCAGACGACGCTAATCGGGCTTCCATTAAGAATTTAAGATATCCCAATTACTGCGCTTTCCGTCAAACCAGACCCAAATGCACCACTTCCTCTGACGAACCACACAATGGACACCACCGTCGTTGTAACTACCCTACAAGTCATCGATCATCTTTGGATAACTTGTGATTACATTTCGAGGCGTCTGAAAGTTGCCGAATCGCCTTAGAGCTCTTTCGATAGCGAACTTATAACAACCTCCCTAAGTATCCTACATTTTCGTAGTTCTCTTGAGGCTGAGATTTCAAAAGTCTTTACGGAGAACTAGCCATCCATGTACACATTCACTGGTGCAGCATACAATATTTCACCGCGCGAAATCAGACAACTGGGCTCCGTCTTTCAGTTCACGACAGGTGTATGACATCTCACGTGGTGCCAACCCTGTCGTAGATGCTATGTCACGAATCCATTAGATCAGATTAGCAACAGGATCCAACATCCAGGTTGCCGGCATGGTTGCAGCCCGATAAGCTGGTCCCGAGATAGGCAAGCTTCGACGCAACTCCTCGTCGTAGCCACGAGAAGTTTCGCTAAATTCAGCAATCCTTTATAATGTCTTACAAACTTCTCCCCGACCCACAGTTCCCTCAGTAATGCTCCGATTACTTTTATTTGCGCTACACAGTCTGTCTAATCCAGGCGTACATGTCTCCCAGAAACTCATAATCAAACGCATTATTTGGCCTAACGTCAAACGTGGTGACCGTATTTGTGTTGGCGCCTGCTAAGAATCACAGTGCACAAAGATATACAGGAAATCCAAAACCCACACTTAGTCTTACCAGCTTTATAATCTCGTTTTGAACACCTTCAGGTCGATCTGGTCAGACCTTTGTATTTGTACAAAGGCTTCGTGTACCACATCACCTATGTTGACAGATTTAAACGTTGGCCAGAAACATTGCCGACTGCTGCTCCGAGAAAGATGCTCGCGTTTTTCTGGAACGCTAGGAAGTTCAATCTGGTTACCAGAGAATAGCCATTACCGGCCAAGGGTCACAATTTAGCGGATCCTTTAACAAACTGCTTAATGTACTAGGTTGCAAACACAATCGAACCACCACCTCCCGCCCTGTAGCTAACAGGATGGCAGGAAGGCTTCGTCGGTTTCTCAAAGCACCAATATTGCCCACTGTAGCAAGTCCTGGCACCAAACACTTCCGCTAGTCCTCTTAGTCATAAGCAACACAACTACAACGGATTTGTACGCCACTCCATGTTTGCCACTCTTTGGCTGCACACAGCTCCTACATGGCAATTTGTTGTCATCAGAAATGCCAACAGGTTGCAATCTAGCGATTACACATACCCCATATCCCATCACATGGGACAAATACAGCATGTGAAACTCAGGGCACAGAGCTTGCGTGCCATGGTGGCAGAACGACATATTGCTTACACTCAGATTTTTCTTCTTACCAACATTGAACGCCAGCCAATCCAGCCTCTTTATTCTGACCCGCACCGCATCGTCCGTGGAACCGTAAAGCATTTATCATTGACTACAATGATAAATAGAGTCTATAAATATTGTACGACTGAAGTTAACATTTACTGCTAGATCTGAATCTCAGGTGCAGCAAGCACCCTCTGAGTCCTCGTCATTACGGCCAGCGCAAAATCCTCAAACCAGCCAATCCGCTCCAGCGGAACTTACAGCGGCAGCCGACCTCGCCCACAATCGTTCTTCCAATCGACGTGATAGAGTATTGCTACTCTCACTTCATTTGAAAACCATGCTAGTTCTTTTTATCTTCCTTAGAGCAAATCTTTCATCTGATCGCATAGTGCCAAAATGCGTCAAATGGAACGATCATGAATTTTGGCGGCATAGTGCAGCATTTTAGAGAAATGATTGCCAGGGTCATTTCCAGCCTCGTGGAACGTGAGATGTGTTTGTCTGAGGATGTAGTATGCACCGTACTGA